CTAGTAATTATTAAATCTTTATGGTCATCTTTATTGGAAAGTGAACATCCTGGCAGTAGCTTTTCTGTTCAGGACTATTGTCTGCCTCTCTCATGTTCCTTAGTAATATTTTATTGTTTTCTTCATACTTTGTTAAATTTTATTTATTAATATTTATCACTATTATTGGCATTCTGAGCAGGAGTCCTTCCTTTCATTTTCATTGGGTTCACAGACTTTCCTGTGAATAACTTGGGTTTTGTGGGCCAGATGGTCTCTGTCATAGGTTCTTCTTTGTTGTCGTTCACAGCCTTTTTAAAAAATGTAAAATCATTCTTAACTGGAGACCAAGAGGCCAGCTGGTGGTTTGCCAGCCTCTGATGTAGACCTTAATGCTGGCATTTGGGAAATGTTTGATTCGGTTCCATTGAAAGTATCTTGCTTTTTTTTTTTTTTTTTTTTTCCCCAAGTACTGGGGATTGAACTCTGGGGCACTCAACCACTGAGCCATATGCCCCAGCCCCACTTTGTATTTTATTTAGAGACAGGGTCTCACTGATTTGCTTAGCGCCTCACCATTGCTGAGGCTGGCTTTGAACTCTCAATCCTCCTGTCTCAGCCTCTTGAGCCTCTGGGATTACAGGTACACACCACTTGTTCATGTGTTCTGCAATTTAATTGCAGATTCTCTGATTTTCAGATCTCTTAATACAGTTGTAATTTGGACTTTTCCTTTTGAATACTTTCTCATCTTTGTGTACAGTGCCGATGTTACCAGAGTCTTAGGCTCCAACACATCAGGTCCAGCCACTTGTCCCAAAAACCAAACAGAAAAGTAATGGTGAAAAGCAGAGTAGGTACCTATAGCGTAACTATACTGAGAGGGCAAGGGAGATCATGTTTTCAGCCCTATCTTTGAGGGACTGATAAAGTCTTAAGGTTTTGTAGAAAAAATGAGGGCAAGGGTCGCAGTTTGCACAGCTGGAAGCTTTGCAAATCCACCAAAGCAGATGCATATTGATCAGGTATGGTCTGGACCATCATTATCTCAGGATTGGTGAGGTGAGGACTTTGGTTTATCACAAGATGCTTATTGATCAGGTCTGTTATTCCTGGAATCAGGTGACTCGGGAGCACAGGAAACAGATGCGAAATGGAGACAGAGGTGCAGATGAGAGTGAAGGCTCTGAGTGCCTTTTAGACTAGCAGTGATGTTGAATCACTGACTTGTTCCTGACGTAGTGCACCTGCCCTGTCAGGTATAGGTGTGATGCAGTTAGGAGTATTAAGCAAGAATGACTGTTACATATTAGGTTCCTTTAAAAAAAGACAATACCTCATTCCAGAACTTTTGAGGAACCTTTAATAGACAAGCCAGCTTCAGCGCTGGGAACCATAGGTCTGATAGTGAGACTCTAGATTCTGCCTCTTGCTCCTGCAGCTGGCTGGGCAGGCAGGTGGACATTATCTTTCTGTTTTGAGACCATCTTCATGGTCCTGAGACACAGTGATGAGGTGATAATCAGAGAAGGTATCGACAGAAGATACCCCAAGAGAAAGGGGCAATGTACAGGCTGCCCATTTTTGAGGGATGGCATGTTCAAGATCCAGAGGGTTAGAAGAGGGCCAGCACCTACAGAGAACTGAAGCAGAGCAAGACCTGGAGAGGAGGTTGGGAGGTTCCTTTCATCTCTCACTCGTCCTGTTGTCATCATCATGGTGTCATCGTTATTCCTGGGGAAGGAATTTTGTCATTCTGAAACTAATTGTCAAGTCATCAAAGAGCATGCTAACATTTTATGGGATGCTCTTGGTGGTTGCAGAATGGACAAGTGTTTAGGACCATCAAGATGGAACAGGAAGATGTTTTTAAGTTCTTGGGGAGATGCTGCTGAGAGATGATGGTGACCTGTTCTGAGGAGTAGCCAGGTGGGTGGAAAGAAATGCAGATTGGGGAGTTCCTGATCTGATGAAGGTGGGAACSCCTCGTTTCACCCCTTTCTGTTGGGGTAACTTAGTTACATCAGTACTTCTGTGACCACCTCACAGTGTCTTAGGGCCATTAAGATGGTTGTAACACAGAGAAATAATGGCCACCTGCCTGCTTAGCCAGGTGGCTGTCGGAATAAGAGGCAGAATCTCTGGAAAAGGCACTCAGCTGTGTCCCTTATCCCTGGAGCACCCTCAGAAATGACAAAGAGGGAAGAAACGACCTGCAGGTCTTGTGGAGGCAGTGCTCAGAGGCCAGCTGGCATGGGCTCTGTTTGTCCAGGGAAGTCATCTGTAGCTAAGCATTGAAAGGGAAGTTTTATGTCTTGTTGGTGTAAGTAGGACAGGTGAGAAAACTGATTAAAATTTGAATCCCCTTCCACTGCTTTTGGCTCTGTATCCTTTGGTGAGTAGCTTTACTTCTCGGAAGCTCACATTCTGCTTTTGTGGAGTTAGAGGGCACATCAATCATATGCTCACTGGCTATTAATAACTGCCATTGATATAAGGACAGGTAAGAGATGTTCCTGTCGCATGTTGGCACTTAGCAACTAGAAAACTGCTCTTATTCATCCTGCTGTATCTTCATCCTGGTCTTTCATCCTTTGGCTCCTCCTTCCCCTGTCAAGTGGTCAGGGATAAGACAGCAGGTAGACTTGCTTATTCTTTTTCTTTTTGCAGGGAGTAGGATGGGATGAGGGGCATCATGAGTTGGTGAACTCTCCCCAGATTTTCCTTCTTGTTTGAGTATCAGTTTGAACACAGACCCTAAACTTCACTCTGCCCTCTCCCTTTGGCTTTCATCTTTTGCATTTTGCCTGTGGACCTTGGCATTTACCCGCACAAAAGTTCATCCTGTGTGGATGAAACCTCTGATCTCAGGTTGATGTGTGGTTTCTGGCCTTGTGGACTGGGGTGCGGAATGCTCTGTTTTGGGAACAGTTTCCAAGATGAGGGGAAATGTGCGTGTGTGTCTGTGTGTGCGTGTGTGTGTGTGTGTGTGTGTAAATTATATATTTAGTTGTAGTTGGATATTATTTATTTATTTTTTACGTGCTGCTGAGGATCGAACCCAGTGCCTTGCGTGTGCTAGATAAGCCCTCTACCTCTGAGCCACAAGAATATATATTTTTTGTTCAGTAGTCACTGTGTTCCTCCCCTCTCTACCCCTATTGCGGTCCCCTTCCTGATTCTGAAGCCCTCTCCCTGCTTCCTTCCTTAGATCCCCTTTTCTGTGCACTGAGGATGTTGAGCAGCACCCTGGCCTTTTCCTGCTAGAGACCACTAGCTCTCCCCCAGCCTTGACKGCCAAAAATGCCTCCAGACCTTGCCAAGTGTCCTGTGGAGAGCGGAATCGTTATGGGTTGAGAACTACCGCTTTAAACAAGCGTGGATATGGCAGGATTGAAAATGTAGCCCCCCAGAAGAATGTGCTGGGCGAACCCAGCTCTCTCTATTATTCTTGGTGCAAGTTGATGTTCCAGCAGCTGTTTCTTTTCATTTTCCCTTTTTACCTTCTGACTGTTGAACTCTCAAACTTTGCATAATTCTTTCTTTTTTCTTATCTGTTTGTATTTTATTCCCCTCCCTCRCTCAGCCACAGGATTTGTTGAATGAACAAGTGTCCCGTGAAGAATTCCTTGAACAGAGTTTCCTACTTGTATTTCCACACTCCATGTAGTAGGCTGTCTTCACATTTGCAGGGCATTTTGGTTGGATTATTTGTTCTTGACGGGAAACTAATTAATTGGTGATAAAATGTGACCATGGGCTCTGCCCCTCCCACGGCTGCATGTGAGCTTGATTATTTTCTTTATGAAAATCCAGGCATACGTAGGCCTGTTTTATTTATGTGTGCCAGTCCACGTAGGGATCCCATGTGCCCTCTCATTTTCAAAGCTGAGTTCTCCCAATGCTCGTAAATCTAGGGTGGGTCACTTTTATTGTTTAGGTCTCACTTCATGGTTTAAAATTGAGGTTTTATTGTCTGCTGCTTCACTGAGGCTTGGCTGCATAGAATTGTTCTAGAAACTTCCTTATTTTGACTTTTTCTTAGATTTATCTGTTAGTTCAAAGCATTACGTTATTTCTTTTTTTTCTTCTTTTTTTTAAAAAAAATTTTTTTTGTAGTTGTAGATGGACAGAATGCCTATATTTTATTTTTATGTGGTACTGAGGATCGAACCCAGTGCCTCTTATTTCTTAAATAAATGTCAGAGTCTCTCCAATTTCTCTGGCTTGTCAGATGCATTCTGGGTCTGGTAATGTTGATCCCTCTCCTTCCACCTCCTGTCTTTTCCTGTTTCTTGCCACTTTACCTTCCTTTTTGGGGGCAAGAGGGAGGGTTTGAGTTTCTATTTTAGGTTTATTTTGTCATTTCATTCATACTGAATGTTTTGACTCCTTTTTTTTTTTTTTGTGGTATTCTGCCCATTTTAAAACTCACCTTGCTTCCTTCCTGGAATTCTGTGTGACCATTTAATCCTAGGTTGATTTTATTTCCTCTTTTTAATACTTTGAATGCCTGCCTCTGCCCTTAATGGGGCACATGTAGCGAATATTCAGTCATGATAAATTGCCTATATCCACATCATCCAGTGTGATAGCCACCAGGCACAAGTGGCTATATAAATTTAATTAATTAAAATTCAATTTCTCATTTGCACTACCCTCATTTCAAGTGCACATAAGAGCCAAAGGTGGCCAGTGTGACTCCTGGTCAGGGCAGATACAGAACATTGCTACTGCATAATATTCTGTTAGGTTAAACTGTGTTATGAGATATATCCTAATGCATGTCAGAGACTTACCTTAATTGTTTTTCCCCCCTGATATTGTGATATTTTTGATAATCTAACTTAGTGGTCCTGGTTTCCAGGGGGCCATTCAGAAGAGAATGGGTACTTGAGAAGTATATTTTTGGATGTTTGTATCTAACTAATATGACTTTTTCTGTACAGGGAACTATATGATCCTGGGTCCTTGGGTTGTATGTGTGCTTTGTGGTGATTTGTTTGTAATCTCTCTTGCAGGTGCTGAGATGGTACTCACAGGTTTCATATCCATCTGAGAATCCGGTGCTGCAGGCACCAGAAGAGTTGACTGATTTGAGCTCCTGGCTTGAATAGCCTTCACTCCCTCACACCACGCAGGCTTACTCAGCTTCTCTTGATGATGGGTATTGGCAAGAACACCACATCCAAATCAATGGAGGCCGGGAGTTCCACAGAAGGCAAATATGAAGATGACCCGAAGCACCCCACTTTCTTTACTCTTCCGGTAATAGTGCTCCTTGTCTTCATTCTTTAGATCACTCTAAAGTAATTCTGCATAGAGTCAGCGTTAATAATTATGTTTTCAATGAAGGCTGAAGCCTTGAAATGCAAGTGCAAAGATACTGTCTTTGAACCAAGGCCCTGCTCCCAGCCTGGAGTCCCCTGCTGGGATTAACTCCAGGGAGGAAGCATRCATTGCTAATAACATTGTAAAACTGGCCGGTACTTACTGCCGGATATTGAAACCTTAATTTTTTTTTTATCCAAGAATGTGCTGTTATGAAATAATATGGTAATCTCACCTCTCCTTTTATTGCAAGGTGGGAGGGGAATGGCATATCATTTGAAACCCAGTGCCTGTGGTTGGTGTTATGGCTGCAATATCCAGAATAGAAGTAATTTTATCCAAAGAAGTGGTATCAGACAAGGCTGATCACACTCATCCATTATATTCAGTACTAATATTTTCCCCCAGATGTCAGATTATGGTTTGATGTGTATAAAGTTTCTTAAAAAGTATTGGTTATGAAAGGGAAAAAGCTCTTTAGAGAGAACTTGCTTTATGGTGTTTGTCTCTTAAGATTGGAAATGTGGTTAAGTCAAGAATACCATTCTAGGATTCCTTAAAACCTGGTTCTGGAATTTGCCTTTTGTGTTGGGTGGTGCTCAGTGAGAAAAGCAAGGTGTGAACATGTATTTTGATTGATTACATTATTTTGATTGATTACTCGTGCTCATATTTTGTTTTTACCTTAGCTCTTAAAGAAATGTTCTCTGATTTTTACAACCGGCATCACTATTTTCTTTTTGCCTATAAAGTGAAAATTACAAAACTGGATTTTCTATGATGTTTAAATTAATGAATAACTTATTCATTAGTTTGTTGTTCATGTTTAAATTAGACCAGCTTTGAAGAGTAAAAAGGAGTTTCCTGCAGGTCTCTCCTGGCTTTTTTTTTTGCCTTAGAGACCAGCAGATTATTTACTCCCATATTTCTTTACTTCAGAGACAAGAACTGAACCATGACTTCACCTCCCACTTGCCTTGCCATATAGTCTAGGATTTGGGGTTAATTTATTTTAGCATTGAACTGGTGATATTTTATACTAGAATTCACAGCAGTTCTCCTGTTCCCTGTTGTCTTTTGCATCCTTCTGATTCCTAGTTAGTTCACTTTTCTTTTAAAACACACCAAGTGTTTGTAGATGGTGACTCTTAGTGTTTGCATCTGAAAAATTATTGTATTTTGCTCTCAACTTGTGAATAAACTTCTAACTATGCGCTATTTCTCTTCCACTGCTTCCTCGCACCCTTCTCAGGGCTGCCCTCTGGATGAAACCTCCAGTAATTTCTACTTTATCTATTTGTAAAATCATGTGTTTATATTGGATTTTTATTGTAATGATTATTCTACAATTTCCACTTGGTTCATTTCTGCTTACCTTTAGTTCTTAATTTCTTGAACATGTGTACTTTTATAAATTATTATTTTTATTTTTGTATATATTTGGTTTTTGTTTGTTTT